TATAGCATTACCTTGTCTTTTGGACATGTACCATGGTGGTACTATCATACTCTGAAGTACACTGGAGTACCGTATTATAATATTGTGACACATGAATGTAGCAATAATTCAGTACCATGGTATACATGGCTGTCATACGTATAAAACATGCTTTTGAGTTTGAAACTTGACAATTACAATATAAAAAATAACAAAAAATATAATAAATACAATAATAAATCTGTATTTAAATTTGTAAATTAAACAATTGCATTAATATTTATTACTATATAGATTATTGTTGTTGTTTTGTTATTATTATTTTATTTTAAATAATAATAATAATAATAATAATAATAATAATAATAATGCTTTAGACACAACTACTTATTTTTTCCCCCTCATTTTAGAATGTCAACAAAACTATGAAACAAGTGAATAAGGGAATTAGTGAATAATAATAATAATAATAATAATAATAAAAACGTATTATTATTATTAGTAGTAGTAGTATCCTATATGTTCTATAGTTTTGCTGATGTTTTTATTTATTTTTTTTTATTTTTAAATATTTATATATATTTATATTCATAAACATTATCTATAAAATAAATAAATTATATATTAAATAATATATTGTACACTGTGGCTCAGTGGTAGAGCATTGCGTTAGCAGTGTAAAGGTCATGGGTTCAATTCCCAGGGAACACACATACTGATAAAAAATGTATAGCCTGAATGCACTGTAAGTCGCTTTGGATAAAAGTGTTTGCTAAATGCATAAATTTAATTTAATGTGGAAAATAGCTGTGTCTAGAACATTGACTAGTAATGTATATCAGTGCACCTTTGTGTTTCTATCTGCTACTATGGTAATTTTTTTGTGGGCATGTTTCTTCATTTGCCTGCTTGTAGGGTCTAGTGTTGGACTAATGACCATGTGCTAGATTCCTACAGGTTACTGACTTTCCCAGTTGACTCTGCCAAAGGAACAGTGAGCATTTTTTGAAAGCTCTATGTATAATACCAGACAGACAGATCACAATATGAGCACTGCCCCTGATAGAAGTCATGATTGGACTGCTGCTGATGCTGTATTTGTGTTGTGTAACAGCGCAGGCAGCTGTTGATACTTTCAGCATCCATGCCCAGAGCGACCTAAAAATCTTACATAACATAACAAGACTAAACCTGTAAATCACCCAGACGAAACTACTGGATTCAACAGTAGTCTCATGGGATACATGCTCATACAGGTGACAAATAAAAATTGCTTGCATGGTCAGTTTATGAATGATCACAAATTTATTGTAAATACACGCAATACACACATGCATGATCATGCAGTACCTGGTAAAGCTTGATGATGTGAGGATGGTCCAGCAACTTCATGATTTCCACTTCCCTGTAGATCTTCTCCAGGTTCACTGCATCTAACTGGGTCTTGTCTATGATCTTAATGGCCACCTGTAATTCAGCAAATGCTAATGTTAATTATACTGAGCTTTTGTTATCTGCATTTTTGAAGCCACCGATGCATTCATTATTTTCAGCTACCAGAATAATAAAGGAATTAAATTATCCATTGTGCTGCATAAAACAATAATAATTGTAGACCTACTAGCTTTCTAAAAATCAAAAGACCACTTAGGCATATGCCACTTTGTATACACGACTTTATAGTTGTAATAAAGTAAAAAAATAAAAATAATCATTGCTCACAGACTGCCGTCTCATGGCTTACTTTACAGCACCTTTTAAAATTATGCAACTGCAACTGGATCTACAGCTGTTCCACTTTTGCTTCTAAGTGAGAACTGGTGGGAAGCTGCATAACTTGTTTGATTTAAACTGACCTGATCTTGACTGCAGCTCTTAGTCACTCTACAACTCGAGTTCAGAGAGTAAACTGACCTTTTTCAAAGCACAACAACAGTGTAATACTGATGCCTGTGAAACAAAGGGTACATCCAGCAAGTTATTTAACTGTTATTAAATAAAACACACAGTACGCAATGCACAATTGAAGTGCTTCATCTAGGTAAATAACAATCTGAACATGCAAAAAATGTTTCCACTTATGATTTGCCACTCTGTCCTAGATATCAAAGGTCAGTGTTGTCTGTTTTGTTTGGATCTATTAAGCCATTCAAAAATATATTAAAAAAGCAATTCATATAAAACTTGAAATCGCATGTTCTGTGATGAGCATGCTTCTTTTGAATTTTTGAATTAAAATATGTCAAGAAATGCCTCAATGTTTAATTTAAAAGTCGTTAAAATTATAAAAAATGTTATCATACGTAGATTGGTAGCGAAGAAATTTAGTTTTAAAATATTAATAATATTTTTAATAATAACATTTCTGTACGGCAATTCAGTCAGTATGCAGGAAGCGATAATGCCATGAGACAAAACTCAGAGGACCCCTTTAGAGCCTTTTTTTTTAATTAACATATTTTGACTTTTTTTTATTGCAAGTCACATTTTGTCCAGTCAAATGGAGTAACCCTAAGAAAATATAATATTATTATTAATAATAATAATAATAAATCATTATATATGTATATATTACATACTACACATCAACTAAATTTACTTGCACATTACTTTCCGTACCCACTGTATATATATTTTTAGTGTTTTATATACTTTTTTTTTTAGATGATGGTTTCACCTCTTAACATTGAAGAAATCATTACATTTTCGTTTTGTGCAAAATTGCATAAATGCTTTTCAAAAATGCATGAAATCACCGTGAACACAAATATTGCATTACATATATGAGAACTTAGCACACCTGATTTAAACTGCGCTTTTTTTTATTTATTATATTTTTCATCTCGCAGAGCCCATTTGTCACAGACACAAATACAACTTCCAAATATTTAGGCATTTAACACATTTTCTATAGATACTCTCCTTAAATGATAAAAGTGATTTTTTTTTTCGATTGCACGAGCGCATGTACACTGAAAACACTAGTGTGTGATATTGAGCGTGTGTGTTACTCACCTCAGATTTCGTGATGCGATGTCTCGCCAGCTTCACAACTGCAAAATTGCCTTTTCCCAGCGTGCGCTCAATATCATAAAATCCCACGCGAACCGGAGCCCGATGCGACGGCTTTTGCTCCCGGGCGGCCATGACCATAGTTTTTCTAGTGAACTACTGGATGAAGAGGTGTGTGGATGATTTGGCCACCTTCAGCTGCTCTTACATAGCAATTCAAGTGGCGGGTACAATTATGTTCCTAATGCCAAAGCTAAAATGCAGACGGGCCATATGGGTGCCAAGGGCTCCTGCACATTTCTTCGTTTCCAGATAAGGGCTCTACATAACTGAGATGAGAGCTCGGCATGAGGAGGAATGATGTTCTGGCTCTCGACATGCATTGACGTCAGTGCTGAAGGGATTTTATAAAGGGGCGGATCTCACAGAGGGGCTTCAGTGTCCGCCACCAGCAGCATGTCTCCAAGACAACCTCATCCACTGCGTGCGTCAATCAGCGGCTATTGCAATCTCTACAAACACATTCAACTCCGTTGCTTACATCTGACCTTCAAAAACTGTAATGCATTCCGTTGTTCAGAATTTCTAAAAAGATCCTGCACGCGACATAAAGAGTGGCATCGACACCACATCACAAGCACATTTTTATATGCATGCATTTTTCACAGAGCACTGATTTTGCTCAATGCGTGAAAATAAGTAAATAAATAAATAAATAAAATCACAATGCATAGGGAAAGCTCTCAAATGCAGCTGACATCATTACATTGGAATTTATATTATTTATATATTGGAATTTATTTATTTTTGTGTGTGCCGCAACGTGGACAAAGGCACCATAAAAAGCAGACATATAACAACAACAGCAGCAGCAGCAGCAATAATAATAAACATAATCGTTTTTGTCATTTTATAGTTTTGTGACTTAGTAGTAGTGTTTTATTTTATATTTGTACATTTATTTAAACATCTGTATGTATATGCGCTCCTAGTGCTCTAAGCATGTAGTCAGAGAGCGACCCCTGCTGTCAAAAACGCTTACTGCCGTTATGTTTTGTTTTCAGCACACATGCACATAACTATAGATGGTGTTAAACATGCAAGTGAATATATTTAGTTTCAATGTCATTCATTTGTTTTGGTTTATTAAGGCTTCATTAACATCACTGCATTCACATTCCAATATTTGCATATAAGAAACTTGAAGGATGTTTGATCCTTCATTATTTCACAGGAAAAGACAGTCTGCGAGAGATTGTCACAGTGCAATTACTGAGCCCCATAGCAGCATAACAGGGTCATGCAAACCAACCAGTGAGAGCAAACAAGCTGTCTGGTATCCGAGCATCTCATTCTGATTCGTTGAGCAGCTTGTTTGTAACATTGTACCACCTTTCAGTGTTTATCCTTCAGAATTTGGCTTTAAAGATGCATTAAAAACTGGCTAGTATTATTCTGTCATATGAGCCCATGGAAATTAGAATCATAACATAAATAAAAAACGACATCTGATAATCATGTGTGACCTGTAAACCTCAGATGTTGTTGCAATGAAAGTAAATTGATGGTAGATCTGCAGAAATCTGGGAATTAGTTTCTCTCATCAGGATTATTATCGTTAACTGAAACTAAAATTAAAACCATAAAAATACTTAAAATAATCATTAACTGGAAAAAAACCTTTAATCTTAAATTCAAATGTGTATCTATTTTAACATATCTTATTTCAGCCCAGGCAACATTTCTCATTTTCGTTTAAGTACTAAAATAACTCAAACTAATTAAGGTAAAACTTTAAACTAAAACTTAAAAATGATATCGACATATTTAAAAATAAAAAATTAAATAAAATAGAAACTAGTAAAAATGATCACAAAATTGCTAAACTTTTAGCTCAAATTCAATGAAATAGAAAATATGAATAAAAATCTAATTCCAAATATTAACAAAAACTATAATGGTATATCAACAATACTAAAATAACACAGTCTCTCATTTATTCAGTACATTTGGGAGAATTCAAAATGCTGGAGTCCACACATATCCAGGCCTTCTTTTGAAATACTCGGGAAAGACATCAACAGCTATTATCATTTTAGAGGAGAATACGCAGTTAAATGCTAATGTTCATCTTTCATATCAGTAGCCATATAATTCATCCATCCATCCCTGGTCTCTGTAATATCTCCCGCTTCCACGGCCCTGCAGGGTGTCATACAAATCGTTGGTCACAAAGCCGCTCTCAGTGCTGGCCAGTGTCACAAAACCACTTTCAGTGTCTCTGCCTGCCAGGTTGTCGTAATCTCCAGGTGGAGTGTCTGGAGATGAACCCAGGAAGGAAGTGTTCTTGATGTCAGGCCGCGTGCCGGCCAGGTCTGATTCATGCTGCCTTCGGATGACGTTATAGACGTCAGGGCTAGGGCTGTTGCATCTTTCTCCAGGGGCCCAGTATCCTGGTTCCTTTGGAGGGGTCTCAGTCTGTTGTTTCTTCCTGCATGCATAAATTATGTTGTATGCTCTCAAATTGATCAAATTGAAAATGTTTTGATCAGTGAAGTGAGCAGTCAAACAACACACCTCTTTGTGAACAGCTTAAAGCAGAAAACTCCCGTCGCAACAATCAACAGCAGCAGAAGTGGTATGGTTGGCAGCACAATGTAAGCGATATTAAGAACATTGTCTAAAAAAAAACATGCAACAGGAATTTGGTTAGTGTTGTCACACCCCTTTGGACTTTTGTTGTGTTTTTATTCCTCATGTGTTCTGTGACCCAGTTTTCCCTCATGTTTGATTGTGTCATTTAGTTCAGGTGTGTCTGGTTTATTATCCTCATTTGCTCCACTATATTAGTTGTGTTCTGTTCGGAGTCCGGTCTACTACATCCCTACGTGTGTCTCCTGCCTGGTCTGTCCTGGATTTACCCTTGTGTGGATTTATTAAAGACTATTAGCATTCATCTTTATCTTCTTCGTGCATTTATCTCACTGTAGCGTGACAAGTGTGATCAATAAAGTTCAAATTTTGGGGTTGGTAAGCAGTATCTAATGTTTACCCAGGCTGCAGTAATAGTGGAATTTTTACAATATAAAATGATTGTTTGTATTTTAATATATTTTAAAATGCAGTTTAATCCTGTGATGACAAAGTTGAATTTTCAGCAGCCATTACTCCAGTCTTCCGTGTCACATGATCCTTCAGAAATCATGCTAATATGCCGATTTGCTGCTCAAGAAACATTTTTTATTATTGTCAGTATCTCATTATTTTTTATTATTATTATCAGACAGTTGTACTGTTTGCTGCTTATTTTAAATCTAAACCTTTTGCAATACTATAAATGTTCGAAAAACATTTGATCAGTTTAATGTGTCCTTACTGGAAATCTTACTGACCCCAACGTTTTGAACAACAGTGTATATTTGTTTTTTTCCAAAGATTTCATATTTAAAAAAATAAAATAAAATAAAAAACAGCATTCTGGAAAAAAGCTCTTAACAAAACCCCAATAAGATTATTGGAGTACATTTTTACAATTATTGGATTACATTTTATATACTATTTCTACTTAAATATTTCATGTTTAATTGTTTCTTTGTAATTAATTGTGAAATTGACTACTGATTTCTAATTGAAAATTGTTCCATACCCATTTTTGTTATGTATAGTGGAGTCCAAATGTCTGAGACCACAACTGAAGATATGCCTAATTCTAGTTCAGATCTTATTGCAAATTATCAGCATAATCATTTGAATGAATCAAACTTGCAGCATGATTTGAGATGATCCAAAGAGCAGCTTGTGCCTCAATAGGAGTAGGAACATCTGATCACTGACCAATGAAACTAATTTAATTACTTCTTTAGTGACCTAGAAATAGTGCTGAAGCTGAAATGTTTGTCTTCAATTTGCACCAGATAATTGTAATTTTTTTCAAAATCATAAAACTGTTTACTCCTGGTATTTCAGGTTTAAATAATAAAAAAAAAAAATCACAGACTTTTAGACCCTATTGTTTTGAGTTAACAGGTATTTATGTCATGGCAGTCTTCAACCCTGTCTGTGAGAACAAGATTCACCTGGAGGTTCAGATACGAGCACCCTCATGCCATCATCCTTCTCTGTGACAGAGGGGTTTCTGGGTATTTTGGGTGTTGGAAGAGCATCTGTAATATATGTGAAATAGGTTTTATGGTATTATCTGGTGTAAGACATCAATATAGACAACAAACAGAAAAAAGTATGAAACAAACACATACAAATAAACCAATAAATGCAGACTTTCTCATATTCTCACAAAATGGATATCCATCCAACATTAGGCCAGTGGTCCTCAACCTTCTTGACTCCAAGGGCTACAAGGGCTGTTCAAGACCATATTTAAAAGTCCTTCCATCTACGCTGATATGTTCCTGTGTTTTTCCCATTGTAATTAAGATTATGTTAATTACACTAAATTTAAATGATTTTAAGACGGGAAAAATCTATCATTATTTACTCACCCTCAAGTTGTTCCAAACTTGTATAACTAAACAGTTGACGGTAGCCATTGACTTCTATAATATTTTTTCCATACTATGGAAGTCAATGGCTACCGTCAACTGTTTGGTTACCAACATTCTTCAGAATATCTTTGTCCGTGCTCAACAGAAGAAAGAAACTCATACACGTTTGAAACAACATAAGGGTGACATCCCTATTCTCATAGAATTAGAATGATTATTAAAACTTTATAGTTGTAGTTATTGTCCTTGGTGTGCACAGGCCTTTACTAGGCCCCCCTACTGGTTGAACAACTGCACTGCAGTGAACCACTAGACAGTTGTACTGTTTGCTGCTTATTTTAAATCTAAACCTTTTGCAATACTATAAATGTTCGAAAAACATTTGATCAGTTTAATGTGTCCTTACTGGAAATCTTACTGACCCCAACGTTTTGAACAACAGTGTATATTTGTTTTTTTCCAAAGATTTCATATTTAAAAAAATAAAATAAAATAAAAAACAGCATTCTGGAAAAAAGCTCTTAACAAAACCCCAATAAGATTATTGGAGTACATTTTTACAATTATTGGATTACATTTTATATACTATTTCTACTTAAATATTTCATGTTTAATTGTTTCTTTGTAATTAATTGTGAAATTGACTACTGATTTCTAATTGAAAATTGTTCCATACCCATTTTTGTTATGTATAGTGGAGTCCAAATGTCTGAGACCACAACTGAAGATATGCCTAATTCTAGTTCAGATCTTATTGCAAATTATCAGCATAATCATTTGAATGAATCAAACTTGCAGCATGATTTGAGATGATCCAAAGAGCAGCTTGTGCCTCAATAGGAGTAGGAACATCTGATCACTGACCAATGAAACTAATTTAATTACTTCTTTAGTGACCTAGAAATAGTGCTGAAGCTGAAATGTTTGTCTTCAATTTGCACCAGATAATTGTAATTTTTTTCAAAATCATAAAACTGTTTACTCCTGGTATTTCAGGTTTAAATAATAAAAAAAAAAAATCACAGACTTTTAGACCCTATTGTTTTGAGTTAACAGGTATTTATGTCATGGCAGTCTTCAACCCTGTCTGTGAGAACAAGATTCACCTGGAGGTTCAGATACGAGCACCCTCATGCCATCATCCTTCTCTGTGACAGAGGGGTTTCTGGGTATTTTGGGTGTTGGAAGAGCATCTGTAATATATGTGAAATAGGTTTTATGGTATTATCTGGTGTAAGACATCAATATAGACAACAAACAGAAAAAAGTATGAAACAAACACATACAAATAAACCAATAAATGCAGACTTTCTCATATTCTCACAAAATGGATATCCATCCAACATTAGGCCAGTGGTCCTCAACCTTCTTGACTCCAAGGGCTACAAGGGCTGTTCAAGACCATATTTAAAAGTCCTTCCATCTACGCTGATATGTTCCTGTGTTTTTCCCATTGTAATTAAGATTATGTTAATTACACTAAATTTAAATGATTTTAAGACGGGAAAAATCTATCATTATTTACTCACCCTCAAGTTGTTCCAAACTTGTATAACTAAACAGTTGACGGTAGCCATTGACTTCTATAATATTTTTTCCATACTATGGAAGTCAATGGCTACGTCAACTGTTTGGTTACCAACATTCTTCAGAATATCTTTGTCCGTGCTCAGCAGAAGAAAGAAACTCATACACGTTTGAAACAACATAAGGGTGACATCCCTATTCTCATAGAATTAGAATGATTATTAAAACTTTATAGTTGTAGTTATTGTCCTTGGTGTGCACAGGCCTTTACTAGGCCCCCCTACCGGTTGAACAACTGCACTGCAGTGAACCACTGCAATCGGTATCCTTATTTTACAAAAAATAAAATAAACTAAATAATTTGTTTTAAAATAATTTGCAATAATTATGCAGAGGTACTATATTAATATACAAATTAATTAATTTTGTCAAGCACAATATCCCTAGCTTACCTTCAAATGTTCTATTTTCTGCAGGGATGGGTGCTGGAGGTTTATCTGAAACATCACATGAAGACCATGTTATCATATACTATGCAGTTCTTGAATCAAATATAATATAATAGCACTGAAAAATAACACTACAAATATTAACTTTTAAATAAATGTCCAGATTTTCTGAAGAAAATGTGAATGGTAAATGAGCACTCCTCAAGTCTCTACTACAGTGGGGGAAATATTTATTTGATCCCCTGCGGATTTTATAAGTTTGCCCACTTACAAAGAAATGAAAGGTCTGTATTTTTTAATGGTAGGTTTATTTTAACGGATAGAGACAGAATATCAACCAAAAAAATCCAGAAAAAAACAAATTTTATAAAGGTTAGAAATTTATTTGCATTTCAGTGAGTGAAATAATTATTTGATCCCCAACCAAGCAGCAAGAATTCTGGCTCCCACAGATGTGCCCATGTGAAACACAGATTAGTCCTGCCACTTTAAGAAGTTACTCCTAATGTCAGCTCGTTAGGTGTATAGGACATCTGTCCACACACGTCTGTATCTTCCATTTCAACCTCTCCCACCAGCATGGGCAAGACCAAAGATCTGTCAAAGGATGTCAGAGACAAGATTGTAGATCTGCACAAGGCTGGAATGGTACTACTAGACCATCAGTAAGAAGCTTGGTGAGAAGGACACAACTGTTGGTGTGATTATTCAGAAATGGAAGAAATACAAAACAACCATCAATCAGCCTCGGTCTGGAGCTTCGCCTCAGGGGGTAAGGATGATAATGAGAAAGGTGAGGAATCAGCCCCGAACTACACGAGAGGAGCTTGTTAATGATCTTAAAGCAGTTGGAACCACAGTCACCAAACAAACCATTGGTAACACACTACACCGCAATGGACTGAAATTCTGCAGCGCCCGCGAGGTCCCCCTGCTCAAGAAGGCACATGTACAGGCCCGTTTAAAGTGTGCCAAAGAACATCTAAATGATTCAGAGAAGGCTTGGGAGAAAGTGCTGTGGTCAGATGAGACCAGAGTGAAAGTGAAAGTGAAAGTGACGTGACGTGGCCAAGTATGGTGACCCATACTAGGAATTAGTGCTCTACATTTAACCCATCCAAAGTGCACACACACAGCAGTGAACACACACACCGTGAACACACACCCGGAGCAGTGGGCATGAGACCAAAATTTTGCTCTTTGGCATTAACTCGACTCGCCTTGTTTGGAAGGAGAGAAATGCTGAATATGACCCCAAGAACACCATCCCTACAGTCAAGCATGGAGGTGGAAACATTATGCTTTGGGGCTGTTTTTCTGCTAAGGGTACAGGACGACTTCACTGCATTGAGGGGCAAATGGACGGGGCCATGTACTGTGAAATCTTGGACGAGAACCTTTTCCCTCAGCCAGAACACTGAAGATGGGTCATAGATGGGTCTTCCAACATGACAATGACCTGAAACATACAGGCAAGGCATACAAGGCAACAAAGGAGTGGCTCAAGAAGAAGCACATTAAGGTCATGGAGTGGCCTAGCCAGTCTCCAGACCTCAATCCTATAGAAAATCTGTGGAGGGAGCTGAAACTTCGAGTTGACAAACGACAGCCAAGAAACCTTAAGGATTTAGAGAGGATCTGTAAAGAGGAATGGATCAAAATCCCTCCTGAGATGTGTGCAAACCTGGTGACTGACTACAAAAATGTCTTACATCTGTGCTTGCCAACAAGGGTTTCTGCACCAAGTACTAAGTAATTTTTTGCTTGGGGATCAAATACCTATTTCACTCACTGAAATGCAAATCAATTTCTAACCTTTATATAATGTGTTTTTTCTGGATTTTTTGGTTGGTATTCTGTCTCTATCCGTTAAAATAAGCCTACCATAAAAATTACAGACCCTTCATTTCCTTGTAAGTGGGCAAACTTACAAAATCAGCAGGGGATCAAATAAATATTTCCCCCACTGTATGAGATTCTGCTGTTTGGAGTGTGGCTGTTTGAGGTTGTGGACAGGTGTCTTTTATACTGATAACGAGTTCAAACAGATGCCATTAATACAGGTAACGAGTGGAGGACAGAGGAGCCTCTTAAAGAAGAAGTTACAGGTCTGTGAGAGCCAGAAATCTTGCTTGTTTGTAGGTGACCAAATACTTATTTTACCGAGGAATTTACCAATTAATTCTTTAAAAATCCTACAATGTGATTTTCTGGATTTTTTTTCTAATTTTGTCTCTCATAGTTGAGGTATACCGATGATGAAAATTAGAGGCCTCTCTCATCTTTTTAAGTGGGAGAACTTGCACAATTGGTGGCTGACTAAATACTTTTTTGCCCCACTGTATGTGGTCTCTTCTGGAATGTAAGTGAATGGGATTTTAATTTTTTTTTTGTCTTTTTCATTGCACACCAGATGGAAATCATGAGACTAATTGTTTCAAAAGTTTATAGCAGGTCTCTCTTAACCAAGCTGCGCTATTTGAATGTGTCATTCATGTCTGTATAAACACTGCAGGACGAGTTCCAGTATGCTGAAGTTTAATGCTTAGTGTTGGGGTTTGTTCAAATCAGTGAGCTACTGTATATCATTTATAATGTGAATTGACTCAGAAATCAACTGAATAAATCATGCTTTCCCAACCTTTGGTGTACTTGCAGATAAAGTTGTTTTTGGTTTCACAATTGTCATCATTCCACTGGAACATGTAAGGCCCACCTTGACCCGGAGGAGCAGAGGGCTGATGGTACATCACCACACACACCTCAAACCCACAGGAAGGCTCATCCCAGTGCCAGTTCCTGTCGCACACAAACAAAACAATAAGCAAAAGCACCTACAAAGGAAATGTGTCTAATGTGGCTCTGATCCCACCTGAAGGTTGCTTGGCTTCCATCCAGCCAATAGTATTGAGAAGGACAGTCTCCATTTATCTCCTCATAGCCTTGATCCCTACGGAGCCCGATCCAAAAGTCTCCATCTGATGCTTTCAGTTCATGGATGAAGTTCTCTATCAGTATCTGCTCAGTCTTAGACTCAATACTGAGAAGATCTCCACCATCACTCAAGCAGGCTCGACTCGCATCTTCAAAGTTGAGTTTACGCCGAGCATCTTGAAAATAGGCAATTTTATAGCAGGGCTTCTCAGTGCCACGCTTGCATATCTGCTGGCCTTGAGAGACACATTAAGACAATGGAATGTAAATGTATTGAAGTCAAGTCGAGTCACCTTTATTTGTATAGCGCTTTATACAATACTGGTTGTGTCAAAGCAGCTTTACAGTGTTAAACAGGAAAATAGTTTGTCAATGATGCAATAACATTTCTCATTTTTCAGCTAAAGTCAGAATCGGAAGTCTTCCGAGTAATCTTTTATTTAGAATGCTTTAAATAAACAAGTTTTTATTTGGAAAATTAAAAACAAAACAAACGTGTTCCTTTTTCCTTTGGCAAAATGGAAAATCTCATTTTCTGCATGCACAAAGCCCTTCAGGGTGCACATATTCGCATGTATATATTTAATTATTTTTCTAAAGCAAGGGTTTTTCAGACAATCTGCAAATCCAGGGATAAAAAAAAAAAAGTGTTTTCCTTTCACAAAGAACATTAATAACGTTGTGAATAACAGACCACTACTTGATGTTTATGGAGGACCAAACCTGCAGAAATTAAAAATGAATAAATTAATGAATGAATACATATATTTATGAATAAATAGATAAATAAAAGTGATAATGGGATAATAAATAAATTAATAAACGACTTGATAAAATAAATATGATTCATTTTTAATGAATGAAGGCCAGTATCAATGATACTAATTCTGATTTCTCTATAAAATTCCCCCCCCCCCCCCCCCCCCCATTATTCATTTTTAATTTCTGCAGGTTTGGTCCTCCATAGATGTTCAGTCAATTGAAAAAGTGCCCAGGGTGTTCCCAGTTAAACCTTTTTCCTCAGAGTGTAGATATTTCAAAATAAAAATGAAATGGAATTATGTTATGATTAAATAGACACGGAATGGAGAGATGAGATGGAGCGGTCATTTCATTTAGAGAAAGCCATTAGTGTCTGCGGCAGAACATACCTCTGGGCTCGTAAATGTCTGCACCAGAGGGAGGATGGACAACACATCGGGTTTACAAGCGGTGAAGAGAGAAAACAGCACTCTTAAAGCATGCTCTAAAGAAGTCACGTCCTATATTTAAGCATCTCATTCAAATTAATTAATCGGGAAACGAAGGAATCTATCGAGACTAAAGAATGAGGTAAGTGAGTGGGAAAAAAAACAGTTTAAAAAAGTTATTGCAAAACCTTTTAAAATTTCAACATGTTAGAATATAGAAATCTTTTTATATTATAAATATTAGTAATAAGAACCTATAAGGGTTTAAAAGACAAAACGAGGCACAGTATAGACTGCCATAATATCTCAGATCTGACTTATTCGGGAAGCTTTTCTTCTAAATATCATATCTATAGTTTAATCCTTTAAAATAGTCGAATGCAGCATTTTCTTTCCTAAATGTGTAACTCACCGCCCAGAAGCTTTGACGCGCAGGCGGAGACGCTGAGTAAAACCAGCGCGCAGCCACATTTCCTCATTAAATCCATTTGATCACCTTTTATCAAACTTCCATGGGCCTTAAAAGTAATTTCACCAAGACAATGAAAAGCCAAGTAAATAAAAAAGGGAACATCCAACACCAGGAAGGCTTCGTCCAGTAGAGAACCGATCAGCTGCCCCGCTATCCTCTGAGATCTTCGTGAGGGTCCAGGGAGGAACACACAGACCGTCGGAACACATCATCAGCTGACTGGACTGAACACGCCACGGGCTTTTATTTGTAGATACCAGCCTTGTCCAAATCCCCTCTACCCACACTTGCGGTCTTTGCACTTGACCACTTGACTACAAGTGTTCAAGTGAGCATGAAGACCACAAGTGTGTGTACAACTTTTCATTACCTGATGGGACACACTTATAGTGTTGTAAAAATGCAAGTGTACACAGCTTTATTTAAATTTTAAATACTTAGCATTTTAAAATCAACTTCTAAATGTCTGTTTAGTAGTCCCTATAACATGACAATTTTAATTTGTGGTGCTTCTAATTAAGTGATAAAAAGCAGTTGCAAATGTTGCACAAAATAAATATCACCACTACTCATCTTTGCACCAATAAAACGTAAAAACACAGTTTTTCTACCAAATTATATGTAATATCTAATTATTATATTAATATTTAACTTGCATTGGAAAGGTTGCCGTGACCTCTCGCGAGATCTCGGCAAAAAGTCTCACGATTTATTTCCAGAACATGATGCATGATGGGATACACTAAGCCACGAATAGCGCTCCGGAGCGGTATTCGAGATAGTGTGGATTTAGTGTGCTTTAAGGGCACTGCGCTCTGGCGCTCTTAAGACCTGGGACAGTCTTGCACACTTACTTCCTGTCACGCCCACGCGCTCTCAAGTGGCCAAGACCGCAAGTGTGGGTATTTGGATAAGGGGACCCTTACCAAAAAGTAGTATACTTCAAGTTTATTTTAGCAAGTATACTTAAGTAAAGTTCAAGTATACTTTATGTAGTAAGTATACACATATCAGTGTACTAGTAGTATACTTGTAAGTGTACTATTTCAATACTCCTTGGGACTAAATTGGCCCACTTTCTAGTATATAAAAGTATGCTTTAAATATAACAGTAGTAAACTTTGAGTACTTTTAAGTATATTTCTGAGAAGTACATAAAGCCCATTTCTGAGAATGGTTTAGTAGACTAAAAGTATACTTTCCTATTTTTAGTTTAAAAGAAGTATAATAATAGCACACTTGAATAAACTTCTTTTTCGTAAGGGTACCAACAAATCTTATAAAAGATTACAAAGACACAGTGCTCACTGGCCTTAATATTTTAATATTTGAAGTGTTTAAGGCAATGATAAACAAATGTAGCTAGTCTAGCTGCATTGTAAGTAAACTTCTTAAACAATTGTCTATTTCCTATGATAAAATGACACATTATATGTTTCAAATTTGGGACTTGTCACTATGTTTACTGGAGCTTCTGAACTTCTTTCCGGTCCTCATTCACAGATGATGAAAGGGTCTTGGGAGCCAATCTACACAGAACACACAAATGATTTCATGATGTTTTCAAAATCCTCTTGGTTTATTATATAAAACATTATCTGATTTTACTTTCATGTAAAGAACATGCATTTTTGTTTTGCAGTATTGCAGGTGCAGCACACCAGTTAATCTGAGCATTATTGTAATAAGTGTCAAGCTTCCGCATTTAATTTAATGTTGCTAGAAACCAATCTACCGCACAGGCGAATTAAAATCTCCCTACATGACATTAAATAAAGGATTTTGCAATGATGCATTTATAAGAAAGGGAATTGTTTTGGATAATAGGACAGGTAATCAATGCAGGTTTGTGCTGTCTGTACAGAGCAGAAAGACCAGACAGATTTCAGATCAATATCCAAGCCTCAATATAAGACTACGCTGGTTTTCCAATAACCTTTCATCACTGGGTCTGGAAATCAATTTTAGTAGGCCAAGAATCCATATAATAATGAAAATGTTAGAAACTGTGAGCAATTTCCCTCTCTTTCAAACGGACAAACCATTTTCCTCCTTACCAGTTTACCTGTTGAAATAATATTTGGGGGTGAGGGCCTGTGTGCTTTTCCCTTTTATAATTGGATGTGATTTACAGTAGCAGCATCAACGGAATAGCTCCCCTTATGCTGTCCACAGCAGTAAATTACTATTAAGCACACAATTACTATTACTTTATTGAATGCAGTAATACATTGTAAAATTTATTGTAAAAATGTATTGCACTGGCATCCATAAGTTGCAAATGATGCAGTAAAAGATCATTTTCCAGATGAAATTATAATCTGTTAATCTCTGACAGAGAAGAGAAATAACATACTTTTTTTCCACTAGGTTGCCTTTTCTTGGTTTGTTTCGGTAGGAAATCATCTCCCTCTGTTGAGAACATACATCAAACCTGTATTAAGTCTGCATGACATTAAAAACAAGGGACTCAAAAATAACAACATGCACATTACATTTTTAATCAGTTTTTGTTGGTTTTATAGTAAACATTTAAATCAGATATGCTCACCAATGCTACATTTATTTGATAAAAAATACAGTAAAAACTGTAATATTGCTTTACAATAATTTTAATAATATTCTAATTTAATACATAATAATATAACATTTAAAATAATTGTTTTCTGTTTTATTATATATTAATATTTCTATATTTTATCTTTAGTGCCACATGATTCTCAGAAATCATTCTAATATACTGATTTGGTGCTTGAGAAATATTGCTTATCATCATACTCATTCTTCTTCTTCTGATTTATTATTAGAAATCTTATTTAACATTATAAATGTCTTTATTGTCATTGCATCCTTGCTGAATAACGTTAATCTAAAAAAAAAAAACAGAGACCCCAAACTTTTGAACAGTAAGGTATGTACACTGTAAAAAAATATTTTTTGAACATGGTGGTGATTATTGATGTATGTTCAAAAAGAAAATATAATTTCAGTCTTTCTACATCAAAATTTCACATATGTGTTATATGCCGTTTCTGTTATTTGTGAAATTTACTAGCAATTTCTGAGTGAAAATATTTTCAAACTAAAAAAAGTGAATGTATATATCTACTAACACTTAAACGTTGAAACTTTTCAGTATCATTAAAAATATAGCTCTGTACATTATACAGCCCAAACTGAGATGCATAACATCACATCCCAGCCCCCAAAATGAATAAACACAACTAAAAACAACTGACTTCGGTGCAGCTTGTATTAGGCTTGTAAAGTACTCAGCAGGGGCTGGATAAAGCACCACCACCCCATAATCATCTGGCTGCTCCTCGGAGAGTCATCAAAGCCTTGAAGAAGCCCACCCCTCCTTTCCTCTCCTCCTCTATAGGGGAGGGTGCCCTAAGAAATGCTGAGGCTCTAGGGAAAAAGTGCTGAGGAAAGGAGAGAGAGCACTCTAATGAATGGGAGAGGAATAAAACACTTGGCTGTCTGAGGAATCCTGTCCTGCAGCATCCAAATATGCAATGGCTGTGTTAGCAGAAGACCCGAGATGAGGCTTAGGCTGATACAAAATGAACGGAGAGACCTGAGAGGATGTTTTAAGCTAATGGGGCCAAGTACTTCTTTCCAAGTATATTTCTTACCTTAATTCGCTCATCCCTCTGCTTTTTCAGAAGGGCAATAATCTGGTCTCGTTTCTTGGCCTAACACAAATATGAAATATGTAAGTAAATGAAGAACCAAGGTACATTGCATAACAGTTGCTGAAGTATAGTACTATAATGAATTTAAAACTATTTAAGCAAAAATTATTTTATAATTACTAAATATTGGTGTTATATTAGTATTATTTATGTATAGTTTTTATTAATACTTTGAGTTAGCTATTATTTTTATATTGTCAGTTTTCATTTTAATTTTAGTTACATTTTTAGTGATTTTGTCATTGTATTATTCAGGTTTAATTCATTTTTATCTTAGTTTAAGTCGTTTTTTGTATTTATATCCAGTTAGTTATTTTAATCCTTAAAGGGATAGTTCACAAAAAAATGAAAATGTTGTCATCATTTACTCACCCTCAACTTGTTCCAAACCTGTATCAGTTTCTTTCTTCTGTTGAGAACAAAAGAAGATATTTTGAAGAATGTTGGTAACCGAACAGTTGGTGGAAGCCATTGACTTCCATAGTTTGAAAAAAAAACAAAAAAAAACTAAAACAATGGAAGTCAATGGCTACCATCATACAGGTTTGGAACAACTTGAGGGTAAATAAATGAAAACAATTTACATTTTTGGAAGTACTATTCCTTTATTATTAGACTAAATGAATGAGAAAGGTTGATTTGGCAAACTGTTTTTCATGTTTTATTTTAGCTTTATTTAAATTAACAATTGTTGTAATAGTTTTAGTTTAGTTTAAGACAAATACTAAATATCTATGTCATGTAAATGCACAACCAGGGCACACTGCATATTAGTTACTGAATTTACAGTATCTACCAACACCTTCACATGATGCCATCTGTAAAAGATGGTGAAGGATACATACACTTTTATAGAGTATAACAGCACTGCTGAATAGGCAGCAGCTGTCCGAGTATACCAGCCGACAACTGCACTTACTAAACAAGCCTCATAATTTTGATTTAGTGCCCATGATTTCTGGCTGCTCTTAATGTCATTTCATTAAATCCATTACATGCTTGTACACTATAACCATTTTTCAAGCCAATGTCATTTTATGGCAGGTTAATCAGTTATAATAATGTAATGTAATGTCTCTGTTGATTATTATCACCCAGTGTAAACATCTGTCATACTGCTAAAACTAAATCAAATGGAGATGTGGAAGAGTACAATGCATCGGCAAAATAACATTAGAGCAGGCTGGAGTATGATTACATTTTCCCCACACTGTATTAAACATTACAATAATAGAACAACATAGAAAAGTGACTTCAAAACATTTTGAATTCAGCCTCTTTGACAAAGCAAAGCCATTTTTTTTTGAAAACCTCCAATGTATAACCCTTTGATTCAGAGGGTTTGGGAATAAGGTTAATTAGCTAAAAGTAATCTCATAAAATGGATCTGTCCTCCAGAGGGCCATCCATCTTGGGGTTTCCAGGTTGATTACTCACAGAGTACAGAGTACTCACTGCCCACTGCCCACTGCCCTGCTGAACATGCTATCTTCAGATGCAAGGAGATGAATGACACATGCAACACCAGCTTATGTAGAATGTGGAATGCTAGAGTACAGCACATGGAGATGGTAAACTGTATTGGGGCAGCTGACAAGCAACAATAGTGTTATTAGGCTTGAAGTATAATCTAAAGCTATTATATACTATTATATTTTTTATTAATATTTTGATTTAGATTTTTAACAGTACTTTCAGTTTTCATTTGAATTTTTCATTAAATTTTTATGCATGTGCTTTTGCCATTTTTTGTAGTAATTACAAGTAAAAATATTAGTAATTTTAGTGCTTTGACAAACTAAAAAAATGGAAATGTTGCCTTGGCTATGTTTGTTTGTTTATTTTCAGGTTTTTTTCAATTAACAAAAAATGTCTTAATAGTTTTAGTTTTAGTAACCTTGCTAAACTTACTTTTTTTATGATCTCAAATTAATATGTAATATGTACTTTTATTTATGTCACACTGCAGGCAGCAAGACCATTTAAAATAAAAGAGTGATGGCAAAAAAGTGATGGTAAAAATGTAGAAATAGCAACCAGTAGATGACCTAAGACATTTCCTTATACATATACAGTGGTATCCTACAGTGGTATTTTTTTAATTGGGAAGTAAACTGAACTTTTTAAAAAAGTATTTTTATTTTCTATAAATATATTTTTATATCATAAGATTCTGCACTATCAAGGTGACTAAAAAAATAAATAAAATTGTACTCATTTATACAAATGGTCGGATGGAGAACATCCAGGTTTTATACATATTGTGAAGTTCACACAGCTGGAGTGCTGCTCTCATTAAGGGGACACATACTAAATACTAAGACATTCTGTTCAGTAAACTGATAATTTAATCTTCATTAAAAAAAGAGATAAAAAATAAAAGGATATTTTCTCTGACATTTGGACACCACTGCATGTAAATGATTTTACCCTAAAATTGTGATACTAAATTAAAACATAAAATTCATGGACATGTCAACTATCATTGAAGAATTTCAATGAATTGAAGCTTTGTGTCATTATAATGATCCAAGTCTATGAATAAATACTGAAAATCATATTTTGCATAACCTAATATGGCCCCAAACTTAATGCTCACAATATGCTTAGGTTCTGTGGCAAGTGCAGATACTTTAGTCTGTAAAGCAAATTGACGAGTTTCTTGCCCCAGCAATGCCAGAAAAGGGACAAATCAATGCTTCCTTATTCTTATACGCAGATGAATTGATCGGCAAGACCAGTGATTTCCTGCTAATCCGATTAGTAGATGTGGTTAGTGCAGTGTTGGGAGAGAAAGTAGCTATGCGGAGAGATTTATCACTGCACAAATGTAGGGCTTAAGAGCGGTAAGCAGGCTCTTAAGGATTCTGCCTGCTGGATAGCATTACAATTGACTCCTCTGCGAGAAAATTTACACGAGTTAGACAGCAATGGAAACCTTTAAATTAAATCTGCAGACTTATGGGATACCTCTGTTTGAAAGCACTGAAAGTGTACCATCAATCAGCACAGTAACTGCATGGTAATATGAAGCATAGCATATCAGGTGCAGGATGAGTTATGCGGCAAAGTTTAGGGTTATGAGTGTGTTCAGATACCTGGCATCAAAGTATAATTAACATGTAATAGTGATGCTTGCTTTAGCACCATTAAAAACTTTATACCAGAGTTTCATTTTATGTTGTGATCTTAAATTATCTGTGATGCTCCTCAGAGACTCATTCTGCTTATGTGGCTTACTGAGAGCTACTCTAAAACCGGCAAATCCAGCCTGCCAGATCTACACTTAGAAACCCCCGCTGATCTCAAATCACCTTTTATTAGAGATCCATAACTGCCCTCCACAGGCTGGCTCATTAGTTCTTCATGCTGCAGTGCACTGTCTAGAAATAAAGATTTCACAGCAAAGAGAGAATCAAGACTGAAGCAGGGGCCACACATCTGACTTAATGTGTATTTTCAATTCACTAAATTATGCCACATCTCTCAATCTTTCTTATTGTTTTTGCTTCTCAGAAGTGCTAATTACCTTACTAAATCAGGTCCTTTTACTTGACATTCTTACATGTGTAGTGTATTGAGCTTGTGGTCCTGGGGTTGGTTGCACCAGCTGTATGCAAGTTACAACTTAGCCTAGTTTTGACATAAATGGGTTAAAACTTATGCACTACTAAATATTTTTTCGTTGCACCATTACACTTAGTTGAAGGGTAACTCGATCTGGACCTGGAGACCTGGAATAAGACTGAATGAACTGCATCAATATGCTTTTCTTTTACCCGACAACCTTCAATCCTTTAGACATACAGTATATGATGCTGCTGACATTTACACTCACATACAATATGTTAATAAAAAGAAAAATATGTTAATAAACATACTTTCTTTTTTAGCGCTTCTTCAACACCACATCCACAGTGCGCCTACGTGTGCTTCGGTCTGTATTGCGCTGCATGTCAAATAAAAGTCAGTCATAATAAATAAATCGAATTTTTCTTATGTTTTTTTTTCTTTCAGTATTTATTGATCCTTATATTATATTTCAATTACAGTTTCTGAATGTTATTTAGGCTACATATAAAAATAGCTTACCTATAGGCTAATGTTATTCATGATTAAGTAGTATAGTTTTTAATGGAAATGTGTTTTTACCGTTAGTTACATGAGACAAAAGAAGTTAGAATGAAGGATAAACTGAAATTCATAGCATTTAAACAAGTTCTGTTTGCGTATTTGAAGGCTTCTATTGGATCATTTAGGGTAAACGTCATATTATGCGACTATGCATTACTTTACTGAGAGCTCATGAACTACTAGCTATGTCCTGCCTTACAAACAACTGGTGCAACCGAAAAATTTATAGATTTAGTCACAAACTAGCTAGTAGTAAGCCTCTATTGTGGACTTAAAGTTCTAATTTAAGAACTTACGAATGGGTGGTGCAACCCTACCCTGACCCTTAAACACCCAGCAACTACTACACATCTACTGTATGTTGCAACTACCCTAAAGAGCTGTCACATTGTGCTGCCCACTACGCCACAGCTTAATGTGCTTGCAATATGTAGAGCAAGTAAAAAATAATCCAAAATCAATATTTGAGCAAATACATAACCAGCCAGTGTTCGAAACTATCGCCTTACTTTAGCCCGATTCACAACGGTTAGCTTATAATAATGTTTTCTAATTTGAGTGGTACGGGTAGGTTTTCGCATTCGAGCATGCTGCTGCGTCATTAGGTCACTTCTGTAAACATAAAGAAGTTGTCCCGGCTACTAGGCTTATCGCATGTGAGGATCCTGCAGGTGGCCGATCGTTTATAGCCTTTTCTCACAGCAGCTGGAATAATTAAATGTATTATTTTGATGGCGAATTGTAATCCATAAAGGATTATGTGTTTATGAAACACATGTGAATGAAATTAAATTATATTTCAGTTATAAATGTGCTTCTGATTACAGATAGCCTGGGATTACAAAGATTTGCATTTTAAAGAAATCCAGTTCGAAGGCAGCATAATTTGCTTTTTGGGTTAAAAGAATTTCTTAATATGAAATTCGAAGAGTATGACAATTAGATTAGACTGTGCAGAAATTGAAATCTACACGCTAATACACATAGTCACCAATGCTGATGTTGTTAAGATTAATCATTTGAGAATAAAGTATAACAATAATAATAATTTGAATGGTTTGTTGTGATATGAGCTAACCGATCTTTAGATTTAATCACCATT